TGTATCATGGTAGTTGTTGTTTCATGTTTTAGTTGCTTTTTTGGCACGCATAAAATATAAAATTTTGATATCTTACTAAATTGGTCATCTTTATGAACAGGCAGAATATGAGGATACAGAAGGTATATGGATTAGTGCCCTGCTCCTGGCTGTTCTGTTCCAAGATGCAAATGTTGTTCTGTCCCCTGCAACAATGCGCATCATTCCTTTACTTTCTCTTCTTTTGAGATCGGATGAGGTGATTGATAGGTTCTTTGCTGCGCAGTCAATGGCCAGTCTTGTTTCTAATGGTAGTAAGGGAATAATTCTTGCCATTGCTAATTCAGGTGCTGTTGCTGGATTGATAACCCTAATTGGTTACATAGAGTCCGACATGCCTAACCTTGTTACTTTATCAGATGAATTTTCTCTGGTGCGAAATCCTGATCAAGTTGTTTTGGAGTGCCTTTTTGATTTTGAAGATGTAAGAGTTGGATCCACGGCACGTAAATCTATACCTCTCCTGGTGGATCTCTTGAGACCAATGCCAGAACGTCCTGGTGCCCCTCCAATTTCTGTAAAACTCTTGACCCGTATTGCCGATGGAAGTGATACAAATAAATTAATTATGGCTGAAGCAGGAGCTCTGGATGCTCTGACAAAATACCTGTCTTTGAGCCCTCAAGACTCCACCGAAGCCACAATAACTGAATTATTCAGAATATTATTTAGCAATCCTGATCTCATTCGATATGAAGCATCAGCTAGTTCATTGAATCAACTCATAGCTGTTCTGCGTCTAGGGTCAAGAAATGCTAGATATAGTGCTGCAAGAGCCCTTCATGAACTATTTGACGCTGAGAACATCAGAGATTCTGATTTAGCGAGGCAATCTGTTCATCCATTGGTTGACATGCTTAACTCTGCATCAGAGAGCGAGCAAGAGGCTGCCCTTGTTGCGTTAATTAAGTTGACTTCAGGAAATTCTTCTAAAGCATCTTTATTGACTGATGTGGAGGGAAGTACACTGGAGAGTTTGTACAAAATCCTGTCTTGTGCTTCATCCTTGGAATTGAAGAGAATCGCTGCACAACTCTGTTGTGTTCTGTTTGATAATTCCGAAGTCAGAGGAAATCCAGTCGCCTCTGAATGCATTGAGCCCCTTGTATCACTGATGCATTCTGATACAAGTACAGTTGTTGAAGCTGGAGTTTGTGCTTTTGAAAAATTGCTGGATGATGAACACCAGCTGGAGCTTGCAACGGCCTATGATGTTGTGGATCTCCTTGTTGGATTAGTTTCTGGTACAAGCAATCAGCTCATTGAGGCTAGCGTCTGTTCTCTCATAAAGTTGGGGAAAGACCGGACCCCATGCAAGTTGGATATGGTCAATGTTGGCATTATTGACAAATGTCTTGAGCTACTACCTGTTGCGCCCAGTTCATTATGCTCTTCAATTGCTGAATTGTTCCGCATTTTAACAAATAGTAATGCAATTGCAAGAAGTTTGGATGCTGCAAAAATAGTAGAACCTCTTTTCCTAGTTTTACTCCGTCCAGATTTCAGTTTGTGGGGACAGCACAGTGCACTGCAAGCACTAGTAAATATTTTGGAGAAGCCACAAAGCCTTGCAACTCTAAAACTTACACCTAGCCAAGTCATCGAGCCTCTTATTTCATTTCTGGAATCCCCATCTCAAGCCATCCAGCAGCTTGGCACAGAATTGCTATCTCATCTGCTTGCACAAGAACATTTTCAGCAAGATATTACAACAAAAAATGCAGTTGTTCCTCTTGTTCAGCTTGCAGGAATTGGAATATTAAACTTGCAGCAGACAGCGATAAAGGCATTGGAAAATATCTCCACAAGCTGGCCAAAGGCAGTCGCTGATGCTGGAGGTATATTTGAGCTTGGGAAGGTTATTATTCAAGATGACCCTCAGCCACCTCATGCACTGTGGGAATCAGCTGCTTTAGTTCTCTCAAATGTTCTGCACTTCAATGCCGAGTACTATTTTAAGGTTCCTGTGGTGGTTCTTGTTAAGATGCTGCATTCAACAGTGGATACCACCATCATGGTGGCGCTCAATGCGTTACTTGTTCATGAAAGGAGCGACAATTTAAGTGCTGAACAGATGACTGAAGGTGGTGCTATAGACGCCTTGTTGGACCTTTTAAGATCTCATCAGTGTGAAGAAGCATCTGGAAGATTACTTGAAGCTTTATTTAACAATGTCAGGATACGACAAATGAAGGTTTCCAAGTATGCAATAGCACCCTTATCGCAGTATCTGTTGGATCCACAAACCAGATCACAGTCTGGAAAACTTCTTGCTGCTCTAGCTCTTGGAGACCTTTCCCAACATGAAGGGCTTGCAAGAGCCAGTGATTCTGTTTCTGCATGTCGTGCGTTGGTAAGTTTGCTTGAAGATCAGCCAACAGAAGAGATGAAAATGGTGGCAATTTGTGCATTGCAGAACTTTGTCATGAATAGCAGAACAAATAGGCGAGCTGTTGCAGAAGCAGGGGGCATACTGATTATTCAAGAACTGCTACTGTCTCCCAATACAGAAATTGCTGGCCAGGCAGCATTACTTATCAAATTTTTGTTTTCTAATCACACACTCCAAGAGTATGTATCAAATGAGCTCATCAGATCATTGACAGGTAATTCACATTTGCAGTCCTCTGGTTTCAATGCTGATTTGTTCCCCTATAGTCTAAAAGACTAAAGCTAAGCTCATTCTCATGTACATTCTTTGTACAAATTTATGAGTTGGTAGCATATGTCTTGATAACCATGTTCATGCTGTCATTTAAATCTTCCATCAAGGTAGTGAAGAGTAGTTCGGTGCGTGTGTATGTGTATGTGTATGTTTCAAATACTCTTATCCTTTCTTTCATTGTGTTCTGTTGATTTATTGGATCCAATGATTGCTGTCTTGCAGCCGCATTAGAGAGAGAGTTGTGGTCTGCTGCAACTATTAATGAAGAGGTCTTGAGAGCCTTACATATGATAGTCATCAACTTCCCTAAGCTCCATATTTCTGAAGCAACGACTCTCTGCATTCCCAATCTGATTGGAGCTCTGAAATCTGGAAGTGAAGCGGCTCAGGATGTTGTCTTGGACACCCTTTGCTTGTTGAGACATTCTTGGTCAACCATGCCAATTGATATTGCGACGTCTCAGGCTGTGATTGCTGCTGAAGCCATTCCCATCCTACAAATGCTCATGAAAACCTGCCCACCAAGTTTCCATGAGAGAGCAGACAGCCTGTTGCATTGCTTACCAGGTTGTTTGACGGTCACAATTAAGCGTGGGAACAACCTTAAACAGGCCATGGGAGGCACAAATGCTTTTTGTCGATTGACAATTGGCAATGGTCCTCCTCGACAAACCAAGGTAATGGTTCCATAGACTAGTTATGTACAAAAATAAACTGTCTATTTCATAGCCCCTTCTCTTAAGTTAGGGGGATGAGAAATTGATTGTTTACTCCTGGAAAAAGTTTCTTTTTCTTTTCTTTCTCCTTTTCCTCACTTCATATGAGGTATCAGATTCTGGCCTCTTTAGAGCACCTGATCAATCCTGGGCCACATGTACCCCCAATCCCATACATACTGGATATTGGATAATTACCAGGGACCCCTTGGGGGTGGCTCTCAAGGGATTGGCATGATGGTGTTTGGAAAGAAATGATTCAAAACATTGTTGCTACTGCAGTGACTTGTCAGCATCTAGATCTGCACTATAATTTTGACTTAGCTGCCTGCAAGTTCCCTAATCTTACATTGGTCTTGCTAAGATTTACCAGTTTATTTGTTTCTTTCTTTGAATCTAGATTATATGTATATGTGTATATATATAGATGAGCATAGTGGATTTGACTATAAATTTACTGTTTACTTTGCCTCTGGATTTGGCAACATGTGTTGAAGCTGCAAAGTGACTTTGTTTCATATGCTTCTTTAATAAAGAAGTTTCATACTGTACATATTAGTAGTGATGCTTATTACTTGTCCATGCTTACAGCTTTTATATTATACTAAAATGTTGTTTGTCATTAGGTAGTGAGCCACAGTACCTCACCAGAATGGAAAGAAGGCTTTACATGGGAATTTGACGTCCCCCCAAAGGGACAAAAACTCCACATCATTTGCAAAAGCAAAAATACCTTCGGAAAGGTAATTAGTTTTCTATTTCGATCAGCAAATCATTTACAAGCAGGATGAGCTAATCGTTCAATTTTTGTGATCATAAGTGTAGGCCTTAAAACATATATGATGAGTACCCTTCCTGCCTTGATAATTGGCATTGCCACACTAATTATGTTTAGTCCCACGAGTTTTTCTTTTCATTTTGTGATTGTTTGTTTTTCTTTTTTCAGACAACTCTGGGAAGAGTGACTATCCAAATTGACAAAGTTGTGAGTGAAGGAGTATACAGTGGATTATTCAGCCTAAATCATGACAGCAACAAAGACGGATCTTCCCGTACACTTGAAATCGAGATTATCTGGTCCAACAGAATGTCCGACGAAGAAACATGAATGCGTCCTAAAGTCAGGTGCAGCAATCTCCCCATGAAGGTGAGAATGCCAGATTAAATATCAAAATGGGGGAGAGGTTGGTCTGCTTGTAATTAATTTTATGTTTTCAAGCTCCAGTTTTGTAGTATGAAGGATTAAGCTGCTTGAGGAAAGTGTAAATTACATTTATTAGCTTGCGGATACAATAGAGTGAAAATGCGTTCCCACTTTATAAGGGAATTTAAAAGCTCAATAGAAGTTTGTACAGGTCAGTCAGTCAGTCTGTAGGTGCTATAGCAATCCAAAGATGCTGAAAAGATTGGCGTTTGAGATTCTTGCAAAGTTGGAATAGCTTTTTGTTGTACAAGTGTTGTGTTTACATGATAAGATTAACAATAAAATCCTTAATTGTTTCCTCTAATTAGAGCCATTAATTATACACATGGACAAGATTCAACCAGCTCCATAAGCGCATTTGCAGATGACACAGGCCTTAAAGCTCAATAGTTCCCCAAAATTGCCTTGAGGTTTCAAAACTAACATCCGGCATTATAACATCTTGGCATTCTCTCTACTTGTGCATTAACAGAGTAATGAACCAAAACATTTGTCTCATAAGTACATTGGTAACAGAAATCGAAACCTACAAATTACACAAGCATAACTACTTCGCAGCAGAAACAAGTGCAGATCGAGCTGTCGTAAAAGAAGCTACCAATGATCCAAGTTGCAACCTATCATTGCACCCAAAGGTCAACCTGTACCTGCAATTCAAAATAACTTGTACTGGTTAATGTTAACTGAAGCTCAGCCAGTTCCGACTTTAACCGCATAGTCAATTGGTATTGAACAAAATCCAAAAACTAAATCAAAATTATATCATATCTTTTAATTTTAACAACTTGGAAGATTAATTAGAAAGCTTGTCGTAATTTTTTTTTATACAATCTAGAGTATCATATATTTGCAAGTCCTTAAGGCAGCAATAATTTCAGCTAATGCATTATACCAGTTCCATAATGATTATAGCTGCTTGTCCAATGAAATGACTTTACATCTAATGCAGACAATATTATATTCGCGAAAATATTGACATTAATTTAATCTACACAGCCTTTTTTAAGCAAATTGATGCACTCTATCGTTCATTATATTGTGAACAGGTGTATCCATTACCATAGTGCTATAAGCTTGTATAGTTCAGAATGAAGAAAACAATTAGCAAATGAAAAAGAGAGTAAGACATGGGCGCATACTCTATGTCAGCTAAATCATTAATCAACTGAACTCGAACATCTGGTGGCATCTTAATCTTAAAAACGAACCTGTTCAAAGAAAGTAGCATAGATGAGATGAAGCAAGGAAAAATTGTCAGGAACAAATGTAGAAAAATGTGTAAGACTTACATGGTCACTTCTCTTACAATATCTATCAAAGCCAACCCTTTAGTTGTTTTCATATCAGATATTCCTGCAATAAATGAAGTGTAAAATGTAAACACCAAATAACTTTTTCCAGTGTCATACTGCTCTTGCCTATGAGAATAGAATTATCAACAAATAAATAAATAAGATAGTTGAATACGTTTGAAACTCTCAGCAAATGATTCATTCAAGAGCCAGTAGGATATTTGCTCAATGTCTTTGGGCAATGGATTTCCTGTGCAAAGATATACTGCTTCTTCTGTTATCTGCTGCTGTGAAGCCATATGAGTTGACTGTGTACATTGAAATAGGAATCACAGTGTCATTTAAGATCTATTCATGAAGAAAACAAAATCATCAATTTCATAATTATAACTGTCCGTTCAAGATTATTTCAAAATCATACTTAAATACGAAATACTTCAAGGAAGTAAGAATAATGCAATTTGTTCTTAAATAAGAAATATTGCCGCCAAAGCAAAATGATTAGAGGAATGCACAAGTAGCAAACTTTTGAAACATTAAACACACTGCAAGAAAAAAATCAGCAAGCTACCCCAACCACAAGTAATTTGAGTTTCTGCTACAACAGATTTTACTTATACAGTCATACTCAATCACATTGACAATATTAGAGACTAAATACAATGACAATATCATTTGATTTCATAAGATTCTAACATAACAGAAATATTCATTTCTCTAACCTGTCATTTTATGAATCGCTAGTACATAGCCACACACAGATTTTGCACAGAAAAAGAGAGAGGAATAGACAAATCCACAGAAAAGAAACATCGGAGTAGAGATCTTATAACCTGCAAAATGTTCAGAGCCTTTCTCATGTCACCATTGCTAAGCCGCACAACTGCCGCCAAGCCACTCTCAGACACATCAAGCCTAGTCCAATCCATTAATGTCAACATATCAATATATTTCTGACTGAAGCCAGATAGAAAAAGCAACAACCATCCCATTTACTAGTGAAACACATTTTATGAGTCAATCCCCTTAACTAGTGAATCACATTTTTAGAGATAACTCTTGATGCATTTAAGGCAAAAATAAAAATAAAAAATCCCCTCTAGCATGAACTTGTTGAACAATGCGTAAGCCCAAAAAAAAAAAAAAAACTCCAGCAGTACACCTCTTCCCACTTAAACCTGACTTTGATGAAATGGATATAAATAGTAAACTGCTACAGAGGGGAACCTTGCATGAATACCAAGGGTAAAATCAGAGCAAAACTTAACTTTCATCTTCTGAAGGAAGATGCAAAAGCCAACATCTACACTTAGACAAAATCATAACACCCAAAAAAATGTGAATAAAACAGTACTTACCCTTCAGTTTCTATAACATGTTTGAGTCTCTCTGAGACATGAAACTCCTCCAGTGGAGCAAATCGAAAACGAGTACATCTTGATTGTAATGCTGGAATAATCTTGTTGACATGATTACAGATTAGTGAAAACCTAGTGTTCCTTGTGTATTTCTCAATCACTACACCAAAAACAAAAGTATAGAAGGAAAAAGAATCAGTGAAATAACATGGAACTGATAAACTCTAGTGCATTAAAAAATTCATACCTCTTCGCAAAGCAAATTGAGCATCCTTTGTCATAGCGTCTGCCTCATCCAGCAAGACCAATTTTACAGATGACTTTGCACTGTCACCCCTGAACCCTTGCTAATCAGTTATATAATAAGGCGACACATGTCCAGTGATTATTAAGCTAAAAAGCAAATTATCTTGGACATTACAACAGACATAATCAGACCACAAGATTAATTTACATGGCTAATTGTTGAACATGACAACATTGCACTTGTAAATAACATGCACCAACTAGATCAAATAATATCACAGCGCATAGCCATCTGTGGTGGTCTGAAATCTTAGAATCTTAAGAAGGGAGAAAAACAACCAGCAGACCAAACCTGGATATCACCAAAATGTAAACTAATAAGATGATTAGCACAAATTGAAGTCTTACCCAAATGAGAAACTCTGTGTGCTAGCAAAATCTTGGATCTGTTGTCGCACAACATCAATACCCCTATCATCCGATGCATTCAACTCCAGAATCATATTGTGGTATTGTGCTCCATAGAGCTTGCGTGCCACAGCAAGAATGGTTGAAGTTTTGCCAGTGCCAGGAGGGCCGTACAACAAGAGGTGTGGCAATCTGTTCTCACTAGTGAGCCTATCAACTATTTAACCCCACCACAAAAAATCAAGATGATTGAATCAATAACAAAACAACTAAAGGAAGGATAACAACTTATAAGCATTGAAATTATCCTCATTTATGCTCTTTATAATTGCTGCAAATCATGCAGAAAATTGAAACATTAGGGAAATGAAGCAAAAACCCTAGGCTCTCCTTATTGATGGTAAGCAAGGGAAAAGTGTGCTTCTTTTCTCTATGTACTCCCTTTCTCAAATATATACATGCATACGAATGTAAACACACAAATGAACATCTTTTCGTTCCCACATTTTTTAGCCAACCAAACATTACAGCAAATAATTACAATGGAGAGAAACTAAACAAGCAAAATCAACAAAAACCCTAGAAAGTGCAACACTTGATATGGCAAATCGTGGGAAGAAGAAATTGCTTACTGGTGTCGACAATGTCGCGGTGAGCCGCGACATCGGCGAGTGACTGAGGACGGTACTTCTCGACCCACGGCGTAGCTTTGCCGTGGGAAGGGGCGGCGGCGGCGACGACGTTTTTGCCCTTATTGTTGTTGTTGGGTTTTGGAGATGGGTTGTTATCGTCGTCGATGTCCATGGCAGTGATCACCTCCGCCATGGTAGAGTCGACTTCTAGCTCTTCTCACTGAGAATCGGAGGTTTTTCAGTGAGCCCAGCCAGCAATGGCGCCAATTTGATTTTTGAGGGCGGGATACCCTTTTGTTATTCAATCTAGAAATTGGGCTGTTTGGCCGAAAATAAAAATAAAATCTACATATTGGGCTTTGCGTCTCTGGTAAAAACCATAATAATACTAATTTTATTATGAGCTCATAATCGTCTTTACTAAGCGATTTATTAGGTGTGACTTGAAATTTTTATTTAAAATCCAAATGTTTTCTCGAAAAACAAGTGATTCATGAGGAAGCACATATAAGTTGATTGAATTTAGCAATCGGGTCTAGTTCAGTTGAAAAATGCATTGATTTACAGAAAAGAGACCTCAAATTTGAACTCTTGTGACATCTTAGTTGTATGTGTAAGAAATCTTTCCCCTTTAATTTAGACTATCACTTATACTCAAAAGTTGATTGAATTTAATACACTTTTAGCAAATTCATGACCCACAAATATTTTAAGTTTTTCTATCAATCTCTTTCACTGACCCTTTTAGTTGTAACCTTTAACAATTTAAAAAGCAGTCCCAAACATATAAGTTGCATATCAAGTGTTTTGGAGGCCTTGACTATAACAATACTAAAACTAATCCCAAATGTTAATGACCAAAGTTACTATAATCAGGTCGCCCGTGTTTTTGTTTGTTTTAATCTAAAAAAATTGAGGAAAAAATGTTTACAAAATTACTGGCCTGTTTGATAATTATTTTAGTGTCTATTTATAGAAAATATTTTATAAAAAAAGAAAAAGTTGAAAGGGTCACATTGGTTATCACACGCGGCCGAAGACAAAACTTGACTGAATTTAATATATTCTTCCACTAAAAAACAAGGAAAAAAGGAAAAGCAGAAGAATCAACAGAAGGGCATTCTGGACATTTTACTAGGCATTGAAATGAAAACCACAAGGCGCTGACAAAATGAGAGTGGAAAGAAATTTTCAATTCAAAAGCACCAATATAAAGCACCAATATACTAAAACCAAAGTCTTGTTTTTGGAGGGAGGAGAGGAGGGCTCAGCCTCTCAAACACCAAAAACCAGCTGCACCCAGCAGACGCCAGACAAGGCTTTCTCTCTCCTCTCATCTCTCTCATGTAAACCTCTACTCTCCTCCGACTAACTCTCTCTCTCTCTCTAAACCCAGCTTTTCTCTCTCTACACCCAGCAATGTTCTCCGGTGGCACCTCAAGCTCAAGGTCACAAAGATCCTCCATCTCGCCTTTCCGCTCCCGGAAGCCTGCGGGGTCCACAAAGCCCCCTACGGCGTCTTCTCGGCCGGCCACCCCTTCTTCTTCCACGACGTCGTCTCGGCCCACCCCGTCCAAGCCCTCTCTGTCTCCGCCCTCTTCCTCCGCCAGCCCGAACCCGCCGTCCCCGCCGGATGTCTCCAAGTCCAAGGAAAATGTCACCGTCACCGTTAGGTTTCGCCCCCTCAGGTACTGCTTCTTGTACGATTGAGCTGTTACCTACTTCTCCGTCACCGCCGGGGTGCTTATTTTAGTTTTTTTTTTTTTTTTAAAGAAGAGAAATTGATGTTTTGGTTGAAATGTGGGTTTTGACTTTTGGTTTGGGCAGTGCTCGGGAGATTAACAAAGGGGACGAGATAGCGTGGTATGCAGATGGGGATTACACAGTGAGAAACGAGTTCAATTCTTCCATTGCTTATGGCTTTGGTGAGTGTTTTTTTTTACTCACTAATTTTGCATTCAATTATGCTCTTTTTGTTCTTGCTTCAATTTCTGTAGTTATAGACACAAGTATATTTTACTCATAAGCTGCATTTGGAAGTTATGGACTTTGGCATATATTATTTTATTTGTTTATCGGCGAGTTGTTAGAAACTTTGGTTTTTTAACTGCCCATCTACTATTTGGGGGTGAGAGGTGCAGATAAGGTTTTTGGTCCGGCCACAACGACACGCCATGTCTATGATGTTGCTGCACAGCACGTTGTCAGTGGTGTTATGCAAGGGATTAATGGTAAACAGTTTACACTAATGTGGTTTTAATTATTATTGTTGTTTTCTGATGCAGATATTATATAGGAAGGTTAGTATGTAGATGGTGATGGATATCTTGTTGCTGGCTAAAAACTGCTCTGTTTGTATGCAGGTACTGTGTTTGCATATGGTGTTACTAGTAGTGGGAAGACGCATACAATGCATGTAAGTTGATGAAGTCTAGAGTATTTGTCTAAAGTCTGGAGTTGTCCTTTCTAGGCCAGTATTTTCACCAGCTCATTTTGGACTTTATGGCTACCAGCCGTTCATAAATTTTGCATCTGCAATCTATAGCTGTCTCAGACTAATGCATTGATGCCATTTGAAAAAGAGTCCATGTCATAAGCAGCATTGTTGTGTTTTCTTTACATTTCACCCCAGTGAAGGGGATTCCTTCTTATTCTTCCTGCAGTTTTCTTGCTCATTGTGGACCTTACTGTGATAGATATCACACGTCTTTCAATTTTTCAGTGTTTGTAATTTTTTAAAGTACAAATTTGTAGTTTTTATTTTGTATTTCAGGGGGAGCAAAAGTCACCTGGAATTATTCCACTGGCAGTGAAAGATGTTTTTGGAATTATACAAGAGGTAATGGATTTCTCAATTATTAGTAATCTTATTTTTATATATGTATTGTATTTATTTATTTTGAGTTTACATTACCTTTTTATCATGTGTCAGACACCTGGGCGGGAGTTTCTTCTTCGTGTTTCATATCTGGAAATTTACAATGAGGTCAGTTTTATCTAGTTCCTTTGTCTAAAGCTTTCATTTGGAATGTGGTCATTGTTGTATATAGTCTTTTGAAGTGTATTTTCATTAGGAAGGGTAGTGATATATTACCATCTTATTCTTTTGTTCCTTTTGTTTTTCCAGGTCATAAATGACTTACTTGATCCAACAGGACAGAATTTACGAATAAGAGAGGATGCTCAGGTGCTTATGTTCATAAAGGAATTGACACTCTTTTTGTGTGCTTGGCTTTTTGGTTTTTTTTTTGGCTCAACGATAGCTCTTGAAAGATCTTTTCCCTTTTGGTTAGGTTTCTTGCATGTTTTTTTTCTTGATCTAAAGTTCTAAACTAACATACTGGAAATTTTGTATGCTTGTATGACTCTAAAAGGACAAGGAAATATGAGTATAGTACAGGAAAAATAAGTTTCTACACATGGAGTTGGCATGAGTATGGGGGTTGAGTCTTGGAAACTATCTCTCTGGAAACATGTTGTGTATGTCTTGCCCCTAGACCATGCATTGGTGGGAGTAATGTGCACTATGTTTCCCTTTATGTATAGCCCAAATTCATCAATCTTTGCCTCATGTTGCAGTTATAGTATGTTTAGAATCACCTCTTCCCCTTCTCTCATATGCGTGATAGAATTTTTTGGCCTATGTATTCTGGTGACAAACTTTCACCTGGCAATTTAGCACCCTTAACTATCAAAAGAAGAGCGACTTTCTCTTCTGATTTAATTTCAAGTAATTTGTATCTTCAACTTGTGCATTTCAGGATTCGTAATTAACATTGACTAAATACCCTCCAGTTCATGTATTGTTGGAAGTAGTTAGACTGATTTGCCAAAATTGTTTAGCCTTATCATTTGAAAGTTTTATTTTATTGGGCAGGGAACCTATGTTGAAGCAATCAAAGAGGAAGTTGTTTTATCTCCTGCTCATGCTCTTTCTTTGATAGCAACAGGAGAAGGTATTAACATGATTACTTTTGTCTACACAATATGGGTGGAAACTTTATTGTCTCTGCTTAATGTTCGTGTCTGAATCTAATATTACGATTTCATAGGCATTGATGAGCACTGCATTCCCTTTGTCATTTTTCTACACATTGTTGTTGCTTTTCGATCCCATTCGCGTATTCTCTGTATATTTGCCAGCCACTGTTTGTGCATCTTTAACATTCATTTTTTCCTTGATATTGCAGAACATAGGCACGTTGGTTCTAATAATTTCAATCTACTTAGCAGTCGCAGCCACACTATATTCACATTGGTAACTTTTTTATTATTATAAATTTCTATGTGATAAAGGTGTCTATTCTGTTACACAAAGCCAGATTCTGTTAGGTTGTTGCCTTTTTTCATCTAATCACTCTTTCCCATGAGTCTTTTCTGAATTTTTAATTTACTCAAAACTACTGATTGTTGAAAGGAATTTTAATTTAAATGTAATCAACCATTTAAAAACAAGTTAAATAACCAATTGTAGACTAATTTATAAAAGTTGTAGTAATTTGTTCATATGGTTAGCATTTTCTTTGTAAAGCGATGGCAGTGTTATAAGGCTTTCATGAAGTAGCTACTAAATCTTGTATTAATCACATTACTTTTGGTTCAACCTTTCTAACATGTAACAATTCATCAGACTATTGAAAGCAGTCCACGAGGTGAGAATCATGATGAAGAAGATGTCACCTTGTCCCAGTTGGTAATGCCTTTCTCATCTTTGAAATTGCCCACCGTAGTTTTAGTTGATCTGGCCTTGCAATCTGGTCAAATATTATTTTCATTACAATCTGATGCTGAACCCTATATAATTCAAATTTCCTTGGCAGCACTTAATTGATCTTGCAGGATCTGAAAGTTCTAAAACTGAAACAACTGGATTGCGAAGAAAGGAGGGTTCATACATCAATAAAAGCTTACTCACGCTTGGCACTGTAAGATAATGCTTATTTTAGTCTTTGTTGATTTGCGTTGTACTATCTGAAATAAAAACAAGTCCCATAATTCCACCTATTAGCATAATTTTGCCCTTCATTATTTCATGCAATAATTTTGAGTGCTGCTATTTCCACCCCCTTGTCTTATTTCCCCACCCATCTTATCTTCAAAATTTTAAAGACAAATTTACCCCTTTGTAAAATGACTTCAAAGGACTTGGCGAAAAAACCCCAACTCAGGTAACCCACCGTAGGACCCAAAAAAAAAAAAAAAAAACTCTTCATTAACAAATATTCTAATAATTTAATCTAATAACTTAAATATAAGCTGTGAATTTTGAAATCTTTGACACATATATTTAATTAACTCTAGTTTGACATTATTAAAGTCTAAATAAAACCAAAGAATAGAGAAAAAACCAAAAACCTCTCAGCGACCCTAC